CCACGCTGAGCTCAGCACCGGGCCCAGCAGTCCCAGCCGCTTGCTCTTCCACACTCAGCAGGGCAACACTAGCTCAGTTCCGCTTTGCCTTGCTTTCGGCGGCATCCCGGGGCTCTGATGCCATCTGCCACACAGATGGACTCTTCCCTAGCCGTCCCTCCGTGGGACTGGAGGGCTGGCGCAGGTACCCGATCTCCAGGGTCTTCTTGCATCACTGTCGTCTGCCGAGCGCTACTGTTGGGATTTCCAGGCCGCGGGTCTCAGCAGTGACAAGTGGCAGTCACCTCCCATGGCTGCGTGTGCCCTGAGCGCTCGGCTGGGCGTCCTCATGGAGCGCCGTCGGCCTCACGCCTGGGGCATTCCAGCTCTCTCAAAAGGCTCTTTGTGATCCGCTCCCCCGAGGGCTGGTGCAGGAGGAAGAGAAAGCAGAGGAGGAAGGCGGCCCCCTCCGGGACTGAGTTCCAGGCGGAAACCATCTTCCAGCCTGGCCATCTTCCCTAAGTGGCCTTTGTTTGGGAAGAAGCTAGCGAAAGAATGCCCTTTGAAATATCACTGGATTACGTAATGTGTCAGGAATCTGGGAATCTTGTTTTTGTTTAGCAGAACTTTTTGGGGGGTGGGGGTGGGGAACGGTCTTCCATGGAAGCTGCGCCCGCTCCGGAGGCGGGAACCTGGCAAGCTCTCCCTTGGACAGGGAAGGCCCGGTCTCCTCCCTCCTCCCTGTACTCGCACACCTGCCGGGCCCTGCTGGGGCTGCCGCACCCTTGTTCATCCGCACCGATGCTTGCCCGACCTCCTCAGAGGGTGGAATCCACAGTGTCGGGCGTTTCGTTCTCGATTATAAAACACAGTGCTGTGGGGGGAGCCACGTCTGACGTCGGCGTTTCCTGCCTTCGAGGCTGAGAGCAAACACAAGGCAGCACCCACCCCGGAAGAGGCTTGTCCTCACTCTCCAGGTCTCCCTGCCTGCGGCCCGAGAGCCGTGGTGAGGATGCTGGCTGCCGAGGCTCGGGTGCCGTGGGGTTGAACTGCATTCAGGTGGCAGTGAGGCGATGGGGTTGCTGCCCACGGTGGCCCCAGGAAGCGTCTCTGCTGACTTCCCCGTGGTTACAGCTAACATGGAAAGGTGCCAGGCCCTCCGGCTGCCGAGTGGCAGCAGCCCCGGTTCGGGTTGGCTGAGGACTAAGTGAAGCTTGTCTGCAGCTTGCGTCTGCTTTCCTGGGAGTTGGGAGACCTGTTATAGTTTCCCGGGCAGAGTTGGGGTGGCTCCAGCAGGGCCTGGGGGAGGTGGCAGCATTTGGGGGAGTGGGGGAGAGCTCACGGCAACAGTGTTTGTGTCACTGGAGCCGTGAGCACTCCAGCGCCACCCCTCCCTGCTCTGTTGCCCCATTCTGAGGAGCTGCCCCCAGCCTGGTACCAGGCGCTGGCCACAGAGGGTTGGGTGTCCTGGCTACTGGGGCTGCGCCAAGCGTTCCTGGTGGTTTTCACACCGGTTCCCCCCCAGCCTCTCCGTGCCATGGCGGGGCATCCCAGAGCAGTTAAGAGGGACTCGGGCTTGAACCGCTTCGTAGCTGTGTATTCTTGGCAGCTCTGCCTGACCTCTCTGTGTCACTGGGTCCTGGCAGTCACAGGTGCAGGGGCTGATCCTGGCCCTGTCCCCACAGGCTCCGTGACGGGAAGGCTGTCCTGGGGGAGCCAGGAGGCCCTAGCAGTTCTGATGTTTCTGGTTTTATGGCTCTTTCTTCATCCCTTGGGGAACAAACTGAGCTGGTGGAGTTCTCTTTCTCAGGGGAAAAATAGCCAGAAGCATCCACTCCTGTTGTTCTCCAGAGACTTGTTTCCGACAAGGCCGCGCTGGGGCAGCTGCGTGTCCTCCGTTGTCAGCCCCTCGGACAGGCGCTGTGGCAGGAGGCTGGTGTGTGTGTGAGCTGAGAAACAGTGGTCCGGGCCTCCCAGAGTCCAGGTGCCCGTGCTGGCCTTTCTCTCTGACAGCCAGCAGGACCCATGGGGAGAGAGGGCCCCCGGCTTTATCACATCCCTACCAGAACAGCCCCGAGAGCGCCAGGACAAAGCCCAGGTGAGAAGCCAGGAGCTGCCCGGGTCTCTCATCTTGTGCTCTGGGCAGGCGCACCTGGCCTAGGGCCAGCCAACGGCTGCCTCACTGGGGCTGGGAACAGCGGTTCCAAGAATGTAGCCTCAGATAAGCAGCCGTGGCTCCTGGGGTCCCCTGGGGGAGGGCATGCTGCAGGCTGAGCTGCCCAGACAATGAGGAAAAGAGCCAGGCTCCGAGGCTGCTGAATGCCGGACTTAGGGGCTGCCAAGGCTGGGGTACAAAGGTGTTTCTGGCGGAGGCTGTGTTGGGGGAGGGCACAGAGAGGGGTTTGTCTTCCTGGACCAGGACCGGCCTGGAGGTCTCAAACAGTCCTGATAAGAGCTCTCTGCTGAGTGGCTGGGCCGCTGCTGTGCAGAGACTGTCTGCTGCTTGCTCCCCCTCCCCCAGCCACCCTCCTCCCAGGCCCCAGGGGTCAGGTCCCGGCCCCTGGGGAGGCTTTGCTTTGATACTAAAAAGGCAGTCAGAACGCGGGTCACCTCTGTGACGGACCCGCGCCCTGCTGCCCCGCGTGCTGTGCAGGATCCCCGGGTCGGGCAGCCCACCCTGGATTGTGACGTGAAGCAGCGCGGGGCTGGGACGGTTTGAGGGGCCGAGAGTGGGGCCGTGCTTCTGGGTCTTGGGACGGACCCCTCGACTTGGTTACCTGCTTCCCAACCTGCCAAGCTCCAACAGATCCTCTAAGACGCAAGACACAGCCCCGGCCCGGCCAGCCCTTCCCCTCCCAGCATGCAGACTCAGCCGTACCGCCTTGGGGTCCCGGCGCCCCTCGCATGTCCCTTTGTGGGGCACCCATCACACGCCTAGAGTTTGCCACGGTGGCCTCACAGCCCGGTGTTCCTCACCGCTGGCTGCAGCTGCTTTGTTAATTCTCACAGTTTTACAAACTCTGGCCCTGACGGATGCTGCTCCCCAGGGAGTTCCTTGCTCAGATCTGCTGTGTGCTGATTTCAAGGCTCAGGAATGCGAGGTGCTGGCCGGTCCCGGGTGCCTTCTCCAGCCTGCCACCTCCAGCCCAGGCCTAGTGCTGTGACCTTCACAAAGTAAGGGCTGGGCCGATGCTGACGGCCCCCCGGGGAAGAGCCCTCCGTGCTTCACTGTGCTGAGTTTCCACAACATAACTCTGCAAGTTCATGACTCTTGCCCCCATTTTACAGAGTAGAAAATCGAGGCGTGAAGGAGTTAAATAACTTTGCCCTGAGCCAACAGCCGACAAGAGGGGAAGCCCAGGTGCAAACTCGGGTCTTCATGCATACACCATGTATCTGCCAGCCTCGTTCAAGCCCAGGAATGTCCCACAGTCATTGTGTTAGAAGCCAGAGATGCTTAGGCAAGAGATGTTGGGTAACCACCGAGGCCGGCCTGACTCATTCAGGATTATGATCGCATTCAGCTGAGCTGCTTGTGGTGTCCACGGGTACGCTTTGGCCCCTGGGTCGTCCGCCAGGACATAGTAAGGCGTCCTGCCCTTTTTTTTTGGGAGCCTCTGACCTGAGGCAGACATGTCCACACATGAGCTAAGACAGGGATTGTTTGTTTATCTCGCTCTCCTTGTTTTACGATGAAGAGACCAAGATCAAAGGGGACCCGAAGCTTTACGTGGCTCAGCGCTGTGTGCCGAACGCACTTCTTTGCGGGATTTCACTCCATAGCAATGGCGGCTGGGGACAGCCTGCCTGAGGCTCCCAAGGACGAAACTGAGGTCCACAGGGGAAAAACAACTTGCCTGAGGAGGGGCCAGGACCGGAATCCAGGCCCCTCCATTCCGAAGCACCTGCTCTCACCCCTGCCCCTGGCCTCCGGCCCAGTGCCTCCCACAGAGGTACTGTGTGGATGCCCCACCCTGCCTCTCACCATCTCTGCCAGTGCACGGCACCGCCCACTTGGCACTAGCACCCTCCGGCACGCAGGGTCAGCCCCTCTCTGGAGTACTGATGGCTTCTGTTAAAAAGTGTTGAAACGAGTGTAAACAGGACATTTTCAGGAGAAAGATCTCTCCTGGCTTACACAACACGGCGGCCCCAGAAGCTTTGATGTGGAGCAGGCACGAGTTTGGTTTTTGCAGAGTTGGAAAACATTGTTCTTGTGTGGCATCCTGCTTGGGAGGCTGGTGTGTCCTGGGGGCGGGGGGGCTCTCTGTCTGCTCCCCTGGGAGTGAGGACTCCCGGAGTCCCCCAGTGCAGAGGAGCCAGCCCCAGAGTTAAAGTGCAGAGGCCTGAGTTGCAGTGCATCCGGGGAGCCGGGCACTTAACCCGTCCCCAGGGAGCTGCAGGGTCGACTGTGTAACATACGTGAAGGTGGCGGGGGCCCTGTTGTGGTCACACTTCCAGCTGTGCCCTCCCCGCAGCGGTGCTCTGAGAACCGCGCATTTCAAGGTGAAGTGTGCACCTAGGAGTCTATAGAAGCATCATGGAAAATTCCAGGCAGCAGGGACCCCAGGAAACGCGTGGCCGCAGAGTCTCCCCCCCGCCCCCACTGCCCCCGTGCTGTGTCTCAGACTTTTCACGGGACAACACCTTCCTTTGCAGAGGCGCGGCCGGCACCTGAGCTGGCAGCAGGGGCTCCCTGGCTGCTGACAGAGCGTTTTGTGCAAAGCCGGGAAGCCTGCAGGCGCCAGAGAACCTTTGCCCTCCTCCGAGACTCCCTGTTTCCTGGTTCTACCTTTGGGCATCCATCTAAGGAATGTGGTCCCTCCCCCGCCCTGCCCCCCCGCCCATGCCCCCCATGCACGCCAGCCCCTGCGGCTCAGCCCAAGGGATTACGCAAGTCCCTGGCCCAGCTTCAGCCGGCCGCGGCTTTCCCCCCACGTGCGATCACAGCCAAGGGGACCTGGGGCGCCTGGCTCTGAGGCCCTTTGCGTGGCCCGGGACCCCGGGGCCAGGGGACTTACCCGACGGCTTGTCTGTGGAGGAGGGGAGGCTGGTGAGGACGGGCATGGTGGGCAGAGGGGGCGGCAGCACCTTCAGGTTCTGGTCGCTCTGGATCTCGTTGGTGGAGATCTGGTTGATGATGCGGTTGTAGGTGGGCGGCTGGTAGGCGCGCGGCGGGGCGGCGGGCGGCGGCTGGGGCACTGGCCTGGCGGCGGGCGCCCGCTGGCAGTGCTCCTCCAGCTGCGCGATGGTCTCGGACTGGTTGTGGGCCAGCGTGGCCAGGTGCTGGTACTTGTGCTCCAGGTCCTTGTACTTGCTGGCCAGCTGCAGCATGTCGGCCGTCTGGTTGAGGATGCGGTTCTCCAGCTGCGAGAGTTCCAGCGCGTTGTCGCGCTTGCGGATGATCTCGTGCAGCAGCTGCATGTAGAGCTGCGTGACGCGCGAGTTCATGTTGCGGCTCTCCTTGCGCAGCAGCTTCACCTCGCTCACGATGCCGCCGTCCACCTCCACCAGCTGCTGCAGCGTCTCGATCTGCCGCTTCTGCTTCAGCAGCTCGCTGTTGAGAAGCTCCAGCTCCTGCTTGTGCACCCGGTTCTCCAGCAGCACCTCGGGCTCCTTGGAGTTGACGCAGATGGCGCCCGTGACCCGCTGCTGGGGCACGATGAAGGTGTAGGTGCACTTGTCCGAGGACTCGCCCGCCCGCTTGTACCTGTTCAGGTAAATGAACTCTCGGGGCGAGCCCTCCTCCGTGCCCTCAAAGCCGTCCTCGGGGTCAGCGGCGGCTCCCAGGGCGGCCAGCAGCCCCAGCCACCAGCACGTCGCGCTCAGCGGCTTCATGGTCTTCGCAAAATGGCGCTCCCTTACGCTTTGTGATTGGAGTCTGAAGAAAGCCTGAAAGTACACAGAGGAGAGGATCAGCGGCGGGCCCAGCACGGCCCGTGACCCGCGCCGTCACAATCCCGGCCTTCCCGTCGGGCACCGCGTCCCAAAAGCATAGCTTCAGAGGAGGACAGCTGTTCCGGAAGTGACAGGACATGGCAGGCCCGGTGGGAATGGGAAATGCAGGGGATGGGCCCAGGGCATCCGAAGGCCGGAGGCCATGGCCCTGCCACTCCCTGAGACAGCTGCAGTGCCCAGAGCCTGAGAGCCACGTCCGGGCGGCTTGAAACTAGGCAGGGGAGGGCGAGGGAGGGTGGTCTGGCTTTCCTCCCAAGCCCCTGCCCTCGCCGTGACACGTGTCCCACTAGAGTTTGATCTCTGCTCCACTGTTGGCTCTGTGGGGGCAGGTCGTGTGCCGGTGCAGCCTGTGTCCCCGGAATGTCGCGCTGGGCAAGGCTTTGGGAGAACGTTTGTTAAAGGAGTGAGGGGCTAGGCGCAGTGTGGGATGCGCCCAGTTTGTAGTGGACAGTGTCAGTAGGAGGCTGTGTCCGGTCACGTGGCTCTGGTCTGTGTTAGCCAAGCGACAGAGCCCCAAACAGGAACAAACAACTGAGCTCCTCCAGAGCCAAAAATGTGCAACAGCGGCGACGGCACGGACTGCTCACTGCTCTGTGATTACACCAGACGGGGGCAGGCACAGACACGTGTCCCCGGGTCCGGCCGGTTCTTCTCGTGGGCCACTCATCCCTGCACCGGAGGCCTGCACCGGCAGTGTGCGGTATGCGGGGGCCCGGCTACAGGCCGTGCAGAGCCATCTCCTGCCCTCACGGGGCCCCCACCTCATTCCCCAGTCCCCAAGTGCCGTGACACGGAGATAGCACGCATGTGACTGGGTACAACAGGGCACTGACCTAATGGAGGGCTCAGGGATGCGTCCCTGAGAAAGTAACCTCTGGGCTGACCCCGGAGGGATGAGTAGGAGTCAGGCGGGCCACGCCAGGCCCCAGCAGCCCTCCCCGTCCACTCCCCCATCATCACATCACGTGTCCCCTACAGACGAGCTGTAATGCTCTTCACTTCAAAGAAGACCCTTTCCAGACCTCCTGTCCCCTCTCCCGCTACTGTCCCATGTCTCTGCTCCCCTCCAAAGAGCAGGCCACAACCCCCGTTTCCAGAAAGCTCCTCCTGCTGTTGTCTCTCGAGCCCACCCCCAGCAGGCCTTGCTGCCCCTTCCCCTCTCAGTGCCCTGTGAGGCAAGGTCACTGCTGGCCTCCGTCTCCCAGGGGGCATGGCCAGCTTTTGGTTCTCATCCACGCTCCGCCTGTCGGCCCTGGGGGCGTGGTGACGGCTCCTTTCTAGAATTCCTTTCCAGAGGGCCCTGTGCCCTCCCGCTGCTCAGGCCGCCCCTCAGCCGTCTTCCTAGCTCCGTCCTGACTCCCCTCTGCCTCCAGCATCCCACCTAGGCTTGCACTCACGTGCAGCTCTGCAGCCCGCACTCTCCAAGGACCACACGCGGCCACGCCCACAGCCCCGGGCCACGCCCACTGGGCACATCACACTCACTGAGCCACCAGCCCTGGCTGCCGCACGCCTGCATCTCCGCCTGCCCACCCGGCCTTAACCGTGTTCACAGGAGGCAGTTCTGGTTGCTCAGGCCGAAAACCTGAAAGCCTCAGCTCTGTTTCTTTCCTGCCACACGCCCAACTCAGCACCAAGTCCCGAGACGCCATCCTGGAAGTGGCCCCAGAGCTCTGCCTCCCTGCAGGACCCCAGAGCCGCAGGCCTTCCCCACCGCCTGCTCTCCTGACCCCTGCCTGCTCTCCCTACAGTCTGTCCTGAAGTGGTTCTAATTTATCTATTTATCTTAGAGGTAGAATTACAGAGAGAGGGAGAGACAGAGAGAGAGGTCTTCCATCTGCTGGTTCACTCCCTTAATGGCTGCAGTGCCTGGAGCTGTGCCGATCTGAGGCCAGGAGCCAGGAGCTTCTTCCAGGTCTCCCATGTGAGACTGGGGCCATCTTCCACTGCTTTCCCAGGCCATCAGCAGAGAGCTGGATCAGAAGAGGAGCAGCTGGGACACAAACCAGCACCCATATGGGATGCTGGCACCGCAGGCAGAGGCTTAGCCTACTAGGCCACAGCGCCAGCCCCAAAATGCTCCTTTTTAAAAAGCCAAATTGGGTCAGTCTTCTGCTCAAACTCCCCACTGGCCGCAGGTCTTGGGGAGAGAAGCCGGTGGTCTCTCAGGCCCTCCCTGATACGGCCCCTGCTGCTTCCCTGGCTCATCTCCTGACCCTCCTCTCTCCTGAGTCTGTGGAGGGGCTCCTTCTCAGTCAGATCCGCCCTGCTCGTTTAAGCTCCGGAATGCGCTGTCCCTCACTGCACCCCGCCAGTGTGAGCTCATGAGCGTGGGGGCGTCTGCGTGGCCACTGCTCCAGTTGCAGCGCCCAGCTTGTAGCCTGGCATGCCTGGAGCCCAGCGAACTCTTGCTGACGGAAGGCCGAGAGCCCGGCCCGCAGTTCCCTGGAGGCGGCGGTGCTGGGGCTGCCCGAGGTGGGATATTTGCTAGTAACGTCCACTCTGTGCCCACCCCTGTGCTGACCATTTTGCAGATGTTTCCCTCTCTCCGGGGTTCTCACAGTGTCCCTCTGAGGGAGATGCTGTTGGGATTTGCATTGTACAGATGGGGAAACAGGCTGAGAGGCTCTGACTGGCCCAGGATCACAGAGGGGAGGGTGGCAGGGCCGAGACTCAGCCCCGGTCCTGTGGATGCTAACCTTCCGGCTCTTATGCCGACACAGGAGTGTGCTTACTCTGGTTTTAAGTAGTTAAAAAGCCTTAGCGTCACCATTTCTGCTTTCACACCTTCATCTCGGGGGGAATAACAACCGGCACGCAGGACCTAAGAGTTCTGTCCACCCTGGACCCCTTGGGAGCCTCTCCGGCAAGCGCAGACCGAATGCTCCCAGGGCCAGGCCCAGCTGTTTTCCTCTAGAACTACAAAGTCCACGCAGGGTCCCAATGGACAGCGCACGCCTCTCCAGCCACACAAAGGTGTGCGAGAGCTTCTGCCAGGAGGTGGGGCTGCAGTGACGTCAATGGAAACCGGCCGAGTTTGGAAGTGTTTGCCTGGTTTCCAAGAGCCCTTTGACCCATCCCTGGCCACACCCGCCTGAGAACAATGGGGAGGAGCCACCCTCCAGGCTGGGGCGGGCCTACTGGGCACCTTCTGCAGGCTGCTCACCTGTGGCAGCTGGGGACAAACCCCTCCCTGTGCCGGGGGCAGAGGTGCCATCCCCCATCCTGGCCAGGAGAACTGCCAGAGGCCCAGGAGGCAGCCCGTCTCCAGGAAAAGTTTTGTTTCCGAAGTTCTGTTGCTTCCCAAGTGCGGGTACCCACAACTTCTAGGTGAAGCTCCTGCCCTTGGACTTGAGGTCTCGAAGTCTGAGCCTCTTTTGCGGAAATGAGGCGACTGCTCCCCCTTGCACACTGGGTAGGCAGCGTGGAAGCACTTCAGAGACCAGAGATCAGGACAGCGTGGGGTTGACACTATCCCGGGAGCAAGGAAGCAGTGGCCGCACAAGCCTACAGTGCAGGGCGCCCAGTGGCGGGCCAGAAGGCACCTGCACTTCACTGCCTCCTCAGGTCCTCACGGTCATCCACATCCTTGTTATCCCCACTGGACCCTCCTCACAGAGCAGGGCTCTGGCAGGAGGCCAGCTAGTCCTACCCCCAGCCTGGAAGCTGTCCACTGGGCAGACCGGGCCCCGGCTGGCCTGGCCTTCCTCATGTCTTGCCCAGGGCCAGCACAGGGTAGGGAAGCCGGAGACATGACTACATGATCACGACCCTTGAGGTCTTGAGAGGGGCAGACGAAAGATCTAGCACTCTTGGAAGTTCCCGCCCACACAGGGCTGCGGGTCCTGGGGCCCTCTGTGTACACCGTGTCGGGCCAGATGGTTCCAGATCAGAGCTTGGGCTTGGTATCGTGCCCATTGTGAGGGTGAGGAATTGGAAGCCCCAGGTGGTGTCAGGTAGCTGACTTGAGGTCACATTGATAGGACTGGGGCCAGGCTTGAAATTGCTGGATTCTGGGCCCCACTGGGAGCCAACTGGGCCCCAGGAAGGAAGGGGAGACCCGGGGCCCCGTGCTGGGTGCCCGACACCGTTGTCCCAGGTAATCAGCGGGCAGTAGAGAACCTGCCACCCGGACAGGCAGAGTGACTTGCCCAGGAACACAGGCTGGTCAGAGCCGGCACTACCAGTCTAGAACCTGGGCCAGCCTCACACCGATGGCTGCACTCTTCATGCCACACTTGGCCTCGGAATCATTTATTTTCCTTAAGGATTCCAAACACCACCTCCCCCCATACACACCGCCATTTTTTTGCCAATTTGGCAGTTCTTAATGGGCAGTAATGAGTTTGTTTACTTTTGCTCTCTTGATATTTATTCAACTAATTGCATCCCAAGAGACCCCCCCCCCACACACACACACACTACATTCCAGCCATCTTGGCCTGGAGAAGAACTCCGCTCCCCTCAAAGTGACGATCTGCAGCCCCTTCCTGTGACCAACAAAGAAAAGCAACATCCAACTGTTTTCCTTGGCTCCCAAATTAAAATAAAAACGACTCTTGAAATTGCTTTTCCACATTGTATCGTGAGGAGTTTCCATTATGCTAGGGTTTTCCCTCCCCACAAGGGAGGCTGTGTGACCAGGCCACGTGACAGCCCTGCTCACAGGGAGGTGGCTTCCCTAGGTTTGGGTCCCACCCAGCCTCCGGTGGGCTGCTTCCGAGTGTCCCCACTTGGCCGGGCGCAGCAGGGCCACACACCGCGCATCCACATCCCTCTCACCACCGCGGCGCTCTGTGGGAAGAAATGTCGTCTTCATAAAACGGGGCTGTGTCCCGCCCTGTGGCTGACGCTGCTGGCCTGGGGTACACTGCTGAGTTCTCCCTGGAGAAGGGTAGGGCCGAGAGACGTTGGGGTGATAAAAATCGTCCCAG